GAGACAGTTTCTGCTGCTCTAAGTGGTATGACTGCATCATTTGTCAGTGGACCAAAGACGGTTTATAATAACTGCACTACAGGGGCCGATAGGTAGTATGGTGGTTGGGGCACTGGACTCCCACATGGCTGATTGCATTTCAAGTCCAGACCTGGCAGCTTACTTTATCACTTTCCCTTTCTCTTTCTCTCTGTCTCTCTTTCTGGTCAAATAAAAAAAATATAACAAATAACATTAAATAAATAATTATTTTTAAAAATAATAATTGCACTAAGAAGTACAGTTGCTCCGGAATGAGACAGGTTTAGGCCAGTCATGTGGCCTGAAATTACTTGTGTGATCTCTCTGAGCCTCATTGCCCTCAATACAGACCAAGATGGATGATACCTATTCTGGAGTTTTGTTTTGAGGACATAAGTAGAACTCCAAACACAAGATGGGTACATGGTAGACACTTAATAAAGAAAGTTAAATACATTTTGCCAGATTTTAGGAGAAAGGCAATAAATTGAATTTGAAAATGAACCAAATCACTAATAAAATTGAAACACCCTGTTGAAGTGGTAATTTATCTTAAAATTTTCTGCTCTCAGTTTGTTAGGTCTTCTGATTAAAACTGTGATACTTGTAGCCTCGCAGTTTGGTACTTGTCCCCGATATTAAATATGCTCAGTCATATTTTTAGATAACATTGCATATTTATTTTTAGAGAGCCCAGGCAAATGACCAATACAAATCAACATAAAAGCAGTTCATATTTAAAGTGCCCACATCTAACTTTCTGTCACTGCCATTTCCATTCTTTTTATTTTAAAAACATTTTTATTTTGTAAAAGAAATATTGATTCAATTTTATTCATCATCATTATCATTTTTTAATTTGCCACAGGGCATGCACACTCACCAGAGAGAGACAGAAAGAGAGAAAGAGAAAGTGAGAAAGCAAGCCACCAGGTCAGGGACTCAAACTGTAGTTGGCCATATGGGAGTCCAGTGCTCCAACCACCATGCCACAGGCTGGCTCCACCATTTCCATTTTTTAAGGCAAAGTTTTCCAAAGTATGTTACCTTTAAAATTAATTCATAGCACATTGACACTTAAGATGCTAAAAAAGAAAAAGTAGTCCGTGCTCAATGAATTTTGGGAGATGGTAAGGTAAGCGAAGTTAAGAAGGGTTTTGGTTTTTGTTTTGTTGTTTTGTTTTTCCACATGAATTTTCAGAACCTACAATATTCTAATGTGCATTACATATCTCTAAAAAAGTAATAGGAGTCCAACATTTCCAAATTGTATTTGTCCACAGAAATGATATGAGGAACCATCACTTGAATTATTTTACTGTCTTTTTTGGGAAGACATTTTGCAAACACACAATAATAAGAGCATTGGGGCAGAAAGAGAGAAGAAGAAATAAAAAAAAAACCATAAAACAGAATTCAAGAATAAATACTCCAGCTCAAAAATAACAAATCCTAATGCCTACAGGAGAAAGTGACATCAAGCTCAAAGGTGAGCTGGATGCTATGCAAGAGAAGATGGTAGGTCAATGGCAAACCACAGTAGATACATCTATCCACCTTGGTTTACACTTCTACGTACATTCTGTGCACCTGTATAATAATGTCTATGGGCTCTAGGTTGCAAGCACAAGGCCCCTATTCCAATGATATTGGTTTCATTTTTATTTAGAAAATAACACTATGTAAACAAATTTAAAGAATACATTCACAGATCCAAATTTCAAATTTGAAGGGAAAGTAGAAACCATGTGGCATATTTAGAGCACGAATCTCTTGAACAGAGCTCCCATTAGGGCCATCTGAAGATTAAAAGATTAGATCCTGTTTGTAACAGGTCATCAGAAAAATTATGACACATTTTTTAACATAAAAAGAAAAATACGTCATGACTTTTCCAACAACCCTATGGTTTAGCATTATGTGTTATTCACAAATACATGGATAAGGGTAATTCATACCTTTTGACCACTTAACGTTTTATCAGACACTGTTCCATGTGCTCTCTCACAGCTCCTCCTTAATCCTCACAATAACTATCATTATATCCATTTTATAGATAAGGCACAGATCATTTAATCCACTGGTCTATAGCTACACAGCTAGCAAGAGGCAGAGCTGGGATTAAAATCTAGGTTGTCTGGTTCTCAATCCTAGACTCAATTACTTTGCTAAACTCAGTCTTGGAGATATCCTACTCCCTATTTGAGAGGTCTATTAGTTTTTAGTGGTTTGAAGTATAGGTAACAGAAGTCCTGGCAAACAGGGTCTGAAACAAGTATTTTCCACAAAATGAGGAATCTGGACACAAATGTACAATGGCATTGATGCTGTAACTTAGTAATGTCAGTGCCCACTTCTCCCTTCCTGGTGACGAAATGGCTAGCTTTTCACTGAACACCACGTATGAAATCAAGAGAGCAAGAAGAGATAAGAAGCGGCACTAGTCTCTTGGGTTCCTTTAACCAGGAAACTAAATGGATTCCCAGAAAGGCCCAACAGACTTTCACTCCCACTGAAGACCCATTACCAGGATGACATCACATGGTCCTGTCTGGTTGAAAGGAGTCTGGGAAAACAAGTATTTCTCTTTTCCAGCTCCAGGGCCAGAGGCAGGCAAGGGAAAATCTGGTTGGGAACAGGTGTTGGCTTTGCCAGCCAACAGTGAGGGCCACAAGGGGTTTGGTTTGGTTAAACAAAATACCAACAGAACTTCATCATACAGTATATCATGACACCCATGCCATGGTCCCAAGAAAGTTAAACAGCAACAAGTAAAGTTTGTTATAAAACCAAAATTGAATCGTAGAACTTTTATTACCTTTTCAAAGTATCTGCTTCCATCCAATTTCAAAAATGTGAATTACCACTGATCCTTTTCCTGATCACACTTATCTAAGTAGTGTGTCAAAATCGATTGTTTTCTCAGATATGTTGTTATCCAATTCTTAATTATGCTATTTTTGTATCTCCCTTATTTACAGTTAATAAATCAAATGGTAATTTTCAATATGGTGCTAAAATTGGATTTAAATTTCTCAATAACTAGGAACTAGGAAGCTTTACTACTGAAAAAACATAATGGGTTGTTTGCATTTATAACCTATTTTATTTTCCAGTTTGCAATGGCTTTTCTGGGTCTTTCTACAACTTTAATTGTAATTTTTTTCTTTTATATTTTTATCATGGCACTCAAGCTTAAAAAACCTGTTAAGGCAACTACATAATGCAATATAAAAATCCAGTTAACATATTACTATGGAAACCAGGAAACAGAAACAGCACTCTAATCATTCCTTTAGACAACCATGGCTAAGTGAGTGTGTGTGTGTAAATTCACTAATTTATCTTTTACTGAAAGTTGTTATTAAGCTCAAAATCTATAACTGATCTGTCCAAAAAAGAGGTCAAGTGCCCAACAACCATTAATGTACCATTTTACTATAGATGGTAGTTGCTGTTATATCATACCATGTGGTATCAGGAAATTCGCAGATTGAGTTGTTTATTTAGCCTTGCCCAGTGAAGGCATCTTGGCACGGTGTGAACTACACCTCACTGAGATTTGAGAGATGCGTTTTAACCTGCCCTCTTTTACTAATGGGCAGCGTGACCCTTTCAGGAACTCTGAGGAACTCAATTTCTTCACCTTTAAAATATGTTCAGTGCAGGACTGCGGTATAATACAATGAGCACTTTTCCGTAAAATGGGGCAATCATGAGGTATTGAGGATTGAAATCATCCTGTATAAAAATCTCTGGTAAAGTGTCTGACATAAAGTGAGCTCTCAGAAAATGGTAGAGGTCCTTACTATGTTTTTCTATTTTTCATTCAGTAGTAAATAATTACTGAACCTGAACAGTAAATGATATTTTGCCCGATGGTTGTTAATAACTCACAGATCTATGTTTCATTGTACAGCTCCATTATCTGGACAAGCCCTCCCACAATGGAGACAACAACCAAAAAAAAAAAAAAAAAAAAAGGGGGGGGGGGGTGAGACAAGTTCTAACAGCCAACACTGTTCCTTCTGGATCCTTCTACCTTTGCGTGTTTATTTACTCCTGTATACCAGCGTCAATTTTTATATGCGAAGTGTCAAGTTATCCTAATATAATTCTAAGTAAAGTCACCAAGGCCTCCAATCGCTTTTTTTTAAAAAAAAAAAAAATGAGATTTCAGCATTTCAGAATTAAACTTTTGTTGTTTCTCTTGCTTGTTGCTATTTCCCTAGTTATTTAATCAGCGTGTTTCCTGCTATGAAAAAAAAAAAAAAGTTTAAGAAACTGAAGTGTCCTCAGGGTTAGATTCCTCTGTTGTCCTTCCTTCCAGAAATCGGAGTTATTATAGTAGGGGATAATCGCTGCATAATGAAACCATTGGGACAATTCATCATCCACTCCTACCTCGGTCTCTGACAATGAGTCCCTTGTTTCTGCGGTGCCCAAATCTCGCCGTGCCCAAGTGAGTGCCGGGAGGCTACACAGGCGTGGGAGAGATGAAGGCAGAGCTTCGTGCGTTTCCCGAGGTCAGCGCACGGGGCCCGGGGGCTGAGCGCCGGGAGCTGGGCGCGCCGTGTGACACTCGCCACCCGAGCACCAGGAGGGGGAGACTCGGTCCCGCTTATCTCCGGGCGGTGTTCACTCCGCCAGAGCCGTGGCGGAAGAAAGCGCGCAGCCGGGGCGAGAAAACTTCTCCACCTAGAAAGTTGCACCTTGCCGGGGGCGGGGCGGGGCGGAGCAGGGCGGGGCGGGAGGAAACGCGACCCCAGTGGGGCCAGGCGCGGCGCACGGGCCGCAGGAAGGGCGAGGACCAATTTCCCCCTCTGGGTGGTTCCAGTTCCCACCTCAGTGGTCCTCCGGCGGGCAGACGAGGCAG